CAAACAGAAAGGCATTTAGGTGGATATTTTAGTATTCCGACACAGCGAACAGATAATGGTGATCGTCTGCTGCAGCTATGCTCAGACAATCGTTTATTTTTAGCAAACACAAATTTTAAGCATAAGGAGAGACATCGTCTAACATGGCGACCCCCTACACCAAACCAACGATGGACTCAAATAGACCATATTGCCATCAGTCATCGTTGGAGAGGGTCGGTAGAAGATTGTCGTTCATTCTGGAGCACCTGCTTGGACTCCGACCATGCCCTAATACGGGCACGCATCTGCTTGCGCCTCAATGGACGCAAAAAAGCCACATTAAAAAGACCCATTAGAACTGAGTTGAGTAACGAGAAAACCAAAAGTAGGTTCCAGGAACAACTGAGGTCACACTTAGTTAGTTGTGAAGACGAGGCTGACCCAGATGTTGCTTGGAAGGACATACAAGCAGCTGTGGAAACAGCAGTGACATCTGTTAGTGACTTAAACCACAGAGTTACAAGGAACCAGTGGATTTCTTCAAGGTCTGTCACACTGATGGATTCTCGCAAACTCGTCCCATCAGGTTCTGAACATGATGAAGAGCGTAAACAAATCAGATCTAGGTTAAGAAAAAGTCTAAGGAACGACCGTGAGCAGTGGTGGGTAACGAAAGCAAAAGAGATGGAAAAGGCGGCGACTATAGGGAACACAAGACAGCTTTACAGACTAATAAAAGAAACTGGAACTAATAAGTCAAGTGTAAGTGAGATTATTTCGGAAAAAGATGATACTCTCATCTGCTCCCAGTCCAGACGTTTAGAACGATGGGCGGAACATTTTAGAGAACAGTTCAGCTGGCCTTCAGCTACTCTACAACTACCCTCCATTCCCAGACAAAGTGAATGGAACATTGAAGTAGGTCCCCCAACTCTTGCTGAAGTTGAGAAGGCTATAGTTAATCTGAAACGAGGAAGGGCAGCTGGTCCAGATGGACTGGCTCCAGAAGTCTTTAAGGATGGTGGTCCAATTTTAGCGACTAGGTTGACTAATATTTTGGCTAAAATCTGGGAGTTAGACGTTATCCCATCTGACTGGTCGCAATCACTTATCGTCCCAATATATAAGAAAGGGTCAAAATCATCCTGTGACAACCACAGAGGGATTAGTTTAACAAACATAGTATCTAAAATACTGGCCTCGATAATTATCAAACGCCTAACTAAGACTCGTGAACTACAAACACGAGAGAACCAAGCTGGCTTTAGACCTGGTCGTGGCTGCATCGACCACATATTCACCATTCGTCAGGTTCTAGAACACAGGCATACCTATCGGCGTCCGACGATGGTGGTCTTTCTTGACTTAAAAGCAGCATTTGACTCTGTAGACCGCGAGACTCTGTGGCAGTGTCTGTCATTGAAAGGCGTACCTCAGAAGTACATAAACCTTGTGAAGGCTCTTTACTCGAACACTACTAGTCGAGTCAGGGCTTATGGCGAACTGTCATCTACCTTTACAACCTCAAGTGGTGTCCGTCAAGGCTGCCCACTTTCTCCATTTTTGTTTAACTTCATCATAGACCTATTGATGGAAATAACACTCTCGTCGACTGAATTCTCGGGTATTGATCTCCTTCCAGGAGGTCCACTTATCGACTTAGAATATGCAGATGACATAGTCCTGTTTGGTGAAGACGCTGACAAAATGCAGAGTCTTCTGGTAGCACTAAGCAACAATGCCAGAATGTTTGGGATGCGCTTCTCTCCCTCTAAATGCAAGTTGTTGCTTCAGGACTGGTCTACGTCCGGTGTTCATCTTGCTGTGCTAATGAGGTATGGCAACCTGGACCGATGCACATATGTGCCTGGTCCTACGTTGTAGCTGACTGACTGAGTGACTTGCCATGTGATACAGTTGGGTGCTTTCCACAATGTGTATCCTATCCACTTTCAGTGTTTATTCCCGATTTCTTTCTCTACTTGAATCTCGTTCGTTCTCTCCCACAAAAGTAGGTTGTTGTTGATAGTGTCTAGTGAACAGGTCCGAATTATTTTGTGTAGAAAACTGTTAATAAGCACTTGTATCTACTAGGTGATTGCTTTCGGAGTTGTCCAAGTTTCAACCCCACACAGTAGAACTGTCTCGACATTTATATTGAAAGTTCTGAGTTTGGTGTTGGCAATTGACAGAGATTGAAATCATGAGTCGATTGAAGCTAGACCACCATGGAAAACCTGGAAGCACTGGACGGCCGTTTCGTCCTAATATGGGACTCCTCAGCAGTGCGCATCCACGATCCCGCACCGCGCGGGGCTCGAACCCAGGACCTACTGGTTTCGCGCGCGAGCACTTAACCACTAGACCACTGAGTCGGCATCCAACGGTGTTAATGTCTAACTTCAACCAATCCACGAAGTTGAGCCACCGTACACCATTGTCTTCAATGAGTTACTATCTCACAATCGACTCATGATTTCAACCTGTGAAATTTCTAAACAAAACTCTCCACAAAACCCATTCTGATAATTGACAGAGAGTTGATTTGAGTTCCAGGTGTTCTTCAGTTGTGGATATGGTGGTCTTGCTTTATCGATCCGCCCCTCCACATGTGCATCAAATTCATTGTGTTCATGAATGATGCTGTCCATATATGTAAATGTTTTTACATCTTCGAAATCTTCTTCATCAAGTGTGATTTGATTTGTCCATGTTGTGTTGTAAACTAATCAAGGTGATTGATAAATGAACCCTAAGGAATTATATCGAAGTCAAACCATTACCGTATCATTAAAATTATTCTCTTTGTTTTATACGTGTGTATACACATGCGTTAACATCTCATTTCCCTTCAATGAGAATTAGTTTTATTGTTTAATCATGATTTAATGAAACACACATATATAACAATGTCAACCATATGTATACTCATGTATAAACAAACATACATAAAATGTATAGATGAATACATAGATTATTCTATGTATCCGTGACCTGATTAACTCATGTATAAAACAAAGAAAAAACTTTTACAGATTGTAAACATGAGTCAATTGAAGCTAGACCACCATGGAAAACCTAGAAGCACTGGATAGCCGTTTCGTTCTAGTATGGGACTCTTCATCAGTTGCAAAACTTCGTGGATTGGTTGAGGTTAGACATTAACACCACTGGATGCCGGTTCAGTAATCCAGTAGGTTAAGCGAGACTGAAGGCTCCGGGTTCGAATCCCGCGTGTGAGATCGTGGGTGCGCAGTGCTGGGGAGTCCCACAATAGGACGAAACGGCTGTCGGGTGCTTCCAGGTTTTTCATGGTGGTCTAACATCAATCGGTTCATGATCTCAATCAATAAGTAAGTTGGTAAAAGGTGAAAATCATCCATTGAACACTTCATATGCAAATACTACATCAATTTTTCATTCATTTCAATGACAGTTACCAATGTTCTCGTTCTCATTGATCCAATCCTTCCAAATTTCTGCTGCCATACCTCCTATTTCTGGTTGGTATTATATACTACTTATATTTATCGATATCAGTAGTACACATCATCATGTTACTGAAATTTATCTAAGATACATCAGGGATTATGAAGACTGTTTATTATGAACTAAAAAGAAAATTGAATTATGTAGCTGAATGAACTTTGATTGTTAATCCTTTTAACTAGTCAGGAGATATCAATTATAACTGGAATTTAGAATATGGAGTTAAGGATTTTTTTTGCATTCGTGATGTAAAATCTAACAACAACTTCCAATGTTAATTCCATTTTGATAGATATTCTGTGATCCATCGGTGATATAGTTTGACTCTACCTTAATAAATAGTAGTTGCACACCTTTTAAGATCATTAGGCATAGTGGCAATTGTATGGTTAGTTTAATCCGGTCATGTTAGCACTAAGACAGATATCAATGATAATAATAATAATGTATGGTGATTATTTAGTACTCCACATTGATTTAAACTTTTTTTTCTGGTTAGCGTTTTTCTCTTTATCCTGGTGATCGACTGGGTCATGAAGAAGTCAGCATCTAGAGGGTAGCATGGGATACAATGGACAGCTAGGATGTAGCTGGATGATCTAGACTTCGTAGGTGATCTAGCTCTTTTAACGCACACGCAACAACGAATGCAGGAGAAGACGACCCGTGTAGCAGCACCATCAGCAACAATAGGTCTCAACATACACAAAGGGAAAAGTGAGATTCTCTGATACAACACGAAATGCACAAATCAAATCACACTTGATGGAGAAGATTTCGAAGATGTAAAAACATTTACATATATGGACAGCATCATTCATGAACACAATGAATTTGATGCACATGTGGAGGGGCGGATCGATAAAGCAAGACCACCATATCTACAACTGAAGAATATCTGGAACTCAAATCAACTCTCTGTCAATTGCCAACACCAAACTCAGAACTTTCAATATAAATATCGAGACAGTTCTACTGTGTGGGGTTGAAACTTGGACAACTCCGAAAGCAATCACCTAGTAGATACAAGTGCTTATTAACAGTTTTCTACACAAAATAATTCGGACCTGTTCACTAGACACTATCAACAACAACCTACTTTTGTGGGAGAGAACAAATCAGATTGAAGTGAAGAAAGAAATGAGGAAGAAGTGCTGGATGTGGATAGGACACATATTGAAGAAAAAACCCAACTGCGTCACAAGGCAAAGCGTCATCTGAGATCCTCAATTCCAAAGAAGAAGTAGAATATCAAAGAATACGTTACTCGAGAAATGGTGATAGACATGAGAAAAGTGAACAAAAATTGAATAGAACTGGAAAGGAAGACCCAGAACAGAATGGGTTGAATAATACTGGAGGGTGGCCTATGCTCCACTGGGAGTAACAGGAGTAAGTAAGTATTGATTATAAACTTAAACCTCTTGGCCATTAGGTTCGTTCTGTAACATGAAATCTTAACTTTACATTACTGAAGATTATCATATCAGGATGAAACATTAGTTTTTTTTATTGCTAATCAACTTGAAATGAAAATATCATCATCATCATCATCATCATCATCATCATCATCATCATCATCATCATCATCATCATCATCATCATCATCATCATCATCATCATCATCATCATCATCATCATCATCATCATCATCATCATCATCATCATCATCATCATCATCATCATCATCATCATCATCATCATCATCATCATCATCATCATCATCATCATCATCATCATCATCATCATCATCATCATCATCATCATCATCATCATCATCATTCGATGTTTTGTATTATTCATTTACTTGAGTGTTTCTTTTACTCTGCTTATGTTCCTTATTGTTGTTGTTATTGTTTTGACCATAATCATCTCTATTATTACTATAAGAATGTTATTTTATATCTTTTCATAACAGGATTGATTATTCACATTGTTTATTCTTCTATCTTCTATATATACATAGAGAATCTAAGTGTTCACTTAGTATGATTCATTTTGTATATTAACACTGTCATATAATTTGGGAAGTGGGTTGTGAGTAGAGTGAGTCTACATTTTTGTTGTTGCTTATTCTCTACTGTCATTCTCTAATTCCTCCTCCTCCCCCTTCTCCTCCTCCTCCTCATCATCATCATCATCCTCATCATCATTAGCAGCATCATCATCATTGACAGGGGTTAAATTGTAAACAAAAAAACAAAATATCTGTGCCAAAATGAGAAGAGTAGAATTAATAGATTGTTTTGCTCATTATTATTAACGATTTCATACACTTTACTAAATATCTTCTATTTACCTACTTAATCCAATGTTAATAGATAATATGTTGTACAGGATTGTCTATAGAGCTAGTTGTCTTGGCATTGTATACATGTTGTGCGTGTGTGTGTACGTGAGTACGTGTGTGGGCGTGTGCTCATCAGTACTTACACGTGATTTTTGAGTAAATTTTCCTATATACCATGCCAATTATTTTCAATTGAAAATCAATTCTTCATAAGTATTCTACAATTTATTATTCTAAATATTGAATTATCTGAAGGGGGATTTTGTGGAGATTATAGTCATTTCGATAATTGAAATCGTAAGTCAATTGAAACTAGACCATCATGGAAAATCTGGAAGCATTGGGTGGACGTTCTGTTTTAATATGAGACTCCTCAGTAGCAGTACGCATCCACGATCCTACTTTGCGAGATTCGAACTCAGGACCTATCAGTCTCAAATGGGAACGCTTAACCTCTAGACCAATCAACTGGTCGACATCCAACCGTAATAATATCTAACTTCCACTAATCCACGAAATTGAGCGACATTGTCCTCAATGAGTTACTATCTCACCATACGACAAAACAGCCGTCCAGTACTTCCAGAGTTTTCCATAGTACTCTAACTTCAATTGATTCATGATTTCAACTATTGAAATATTCTATTGAAATAAAGAGAACTATACAATGATGACGATATTCGTGTTATTTGATTGGTCAGTCAATCAGTCATTAAGTTGAGTGAAAACAAGAAAAAAACTCCTCAATAAATATTTCTATAAGAATAGATAATTTTATCTTCCATTTTGTTGATTAAATTTGATTTTCTAGAAGTTTTGTTTACCTATTCGTATGATTGTTTCCGTGTGTGTGTGTGTGTGTGTGTGTGTGTGTGTGTGTAGAAACCGACGTCGATCCATGCCTATATTACACAAGTATCTATGCCTAGGTGTATGTATACAGGTGAACAAGAAAGGTAGTAATCAGTAAGTGTGTGTACGTCTGTAACTCTTTATTTGTATGGTTATTTATAGTAAATTCTATAGAAGAAATAATTTCATCGAAACAAACCAGCAGTCAGTTATATTTTCTATGCAACTGTAAATCTTTCATAAAATCAAGTTAAGAGTAGTGAAAGATAGGTGTGTATGTGTGTGTGTGTGAGCGAGTGTGAGTATAGTCAGATGTTGGCTATATTTTTAGTATTCAATCGAATTACATCAAGTTACATATCATGTCAGAATATTTTAATTTGGTTTATATGAATGCTTGTTACAGGATTGACTCAGTGGTCTGGAGGTTAAGTGTTTTCGTTCGAGGCCGATAGGTCCTGGGTTCGAATCCCGCTAGTCAGATCGTGGTTGTGCACTGTTGAGGACTTCCATACTAGGATGAGATAGCCATCCAATGTTTCCAGAGTTTCCATGATAGTCTAGCTTTAATTGACTCATGAATTCGACTATGAAAGCTTCGTTTTTTATTTGAGTTCTATGCTAGTTGACACTTTTAAATAATAATTACCTGAAGTCATTAAGAAATTGGCATAGAAACAGAGTCACCCAGTTTCTTAGTTTGAGAGGTTATCACTGAGTTAAACGAGCCACGACTGATATCCTCTGAGATTAAATATCTAAATTGATTGAATACATTTGAATCTCTATAAAATAACATGAAAATATGAAGAAATTGTAAATATTGATTAGCAATTGGATTCAGAAAGTACAATTTCTATTGTTAAGATCTCATCGACTGGATATACTTGCTTCCGAATATTGATTTTCATATTAAAACTACTACGTTATAATGGTCTCTTCAAACAGCAGTGTAGAATTGAGTTAAAGACTGATAGGTCCTTGGTTCGAGTCTCATGAGAGGGTCTCGTGGATGTGCACTGCCAAGGAATAGTCTCAAAATAGGAGGAAATGACCGTCCAGTGCTTCCAGGTTTTCCATGTTGGTCTAGCTTCAATTGACTCATGATTTCGACTATTGAAATAAAACCCTAAATATCAATAAAAGGGAAACGAACATTTACTGGATAATGATAAATGAAGCATTATACCTTATATTCAAGCTTTATGTACATACATGAATTGAATTCCAGGCTATGAGAAATAAAACATCGGCCAAATGTTATTATTAATATTTTGTTAAAGTTGAATAACTCTACTAAGAGATTGTGTCTAACAGTAGTAGAGTGTCAGCTAGTCTACTTCATAAAGTTGCTGACTGTTCGACCGAAACATGTCAGTAAGTAAAGATAAACTTCCATGTCACATTAATTCATTGATTTGAAATCGATTTCACTGAAATAGATAAATCAAGCAATTCACAGTAATTATGAGTGTAGGGTTGTGGAGATTATTACGTTTTTAATTGAGATCATGAATCGATTAATTGTAGACCACCATGTAAAACCTGGAAGTATCGTACGACCGTTTCATCCTAGTGTGGAACTCCTCAACAGTGCACAACCACGATCCTTCTTACAGGATCCGGACCCATGACTTTCGGTGTCATTTGCAAACACTTAACCTGTAGATCATTGAGCCGGAAACATTAATCAACTTGAAATTGTTTACTTAAATCTTCTCATTGATAATTAAGACTATTATCAGAAGGGGGTTTTGTGGAGATCTTAGTAATTTCAATTGTTGAGATCATGAATCAGTTGAAGCTAGACCACCATGGAAAACCTGGAAACATTGGACGACCATTTCGTCCTGTTGTGGGACTCTTCACTAGTGCGCGTCCACGATCCCGCCTCACAGTGTTCGAACCCAGGACCCACTGGTCTCGCGCGCGAGCACTTAACCACTAGACCATTGAGCCGCCCAGCATCCAAAGATGTTAATGTCTAACTTCAACTAATTGACTCATGACCTCAACAATTGAAATTTAAGACTATAATTTATCAATCTATTATTGGCATATATTGAATCTTATATAAAATGATTGTTTGAATATTACATTAATTCACAAACGTTAAATTCAATCGAATTATCACGTTGTGTGATTAAATTTCTATTTTGGCGCCAAATGATTTATGTTATATACATATTCTACGTCATATGCTTCTCTTTTTATTAATTTAATCACCTAACTTCCGTTTGTTTGTTTTGTTTATTCTTTCCTTTATTGTAATAAAAAATGAAAACAAAGAATAAACTGTGAATGATTCAATAGTTTAGTAGATCTGTTGCTTTAATGTTAGATAGCTGGAAGTAGTAGTTTTAGTATTAGTATTAGTATTAGTATTAGTAGTAGTAGTAGTAGTAGTGGTAGTAGTCGTAGGTGTAGTAGAGATAGTAGTAGTAGTCGTAGGTGTAGTAGAGGTAGTAGTAGTATTAGTATTAGTATTAGTAGTAGTAGTAGTAGTAGTAGTAGTGATAGTGGTAGTGGTAGTAGTATATGAATACTTTTGTAGCATTGTCCAATGTACGATTGGTTGAGGTTAGACATTAACATTATTGGATGCCGATCAGCTCAGTAGTCTAGAGGTTAAGCGTTCATGTGTGAGACCAAAGGACCACGGTTCGAATCTCGCGAGGCGGGATCTTGGACGTGCACTGTTGAGGAGTCCCACAATAAGAGGAGACGGTTGTCCAGTAGTTTCAGGTTTATAGTGGTGGTCTAACATCAATCGGTTCATGATCTCAATAAAAACTTATCAGAAACAACCTCTGCCAACGGTACATAAATTACCAAGATTATACACTAGAATAGGCTTTGTGTGTGTGTGTAATAACTCTAATTCAGTGGTTCTAAAGTGCTCATCAAATCTGATCTATTAAAGACTAATTAGGTATAAGACTGTTTGGGCTGACCTTTCTCTCTCCCTCTGAGTATACAAAACTCACCTATCAAGATTCCTTATTAAATTAGGAGGCCACCTAGTATTCTGGTAACTTACTTTCATTCACTATTATCTGTTTATGAAATATAAACGAACTTGGCGATTTCCTTGTTATGCTACATACTTGTAAAGAGAATGAAGATAACCTATCTACCAGAATAGAGTAATCTAGATCAAGAAGTTACCAAATAATGTGATTTTCTCTCAGGAATACATAAACTGAGTAAGTTTTGTATGTATAGCTAGAAATTAAACATGATTTTTTAAACACAAAATTGGAGAACTAGTAAAGACTATTTTGTAAGCAATGATGGATAGTGGCTAGCAGTGGAATCCAGGACGCGCGTTTCGTCCTATCTGGGATTCATCAGCTGGATGTACCTGCATCTCAGAGTTGATGTTCCCTCTGGGACTCGAACCCAATACGAAACGCGCGTCCTGGATTCCACTGCTAGCCACTATCCATCATTGCTTACAAATAGCTTGTGAATTCAGGCAATATCGAGGCATACGCACAGTATGCACATATGCCAATAACAGACCGATCAATTGCAGTTTTAAACCTCAATGGGAAGATACAAGCCAAACAATACCAAGTGAATAGTAAAGACTATATTAATCACTAGAACTTTTCAACAGTATATATCCATAAGCTTAGAGACTATTCAAACACCAACCTTCAAGTC